CACGAAACCTGTGACGGATCGCGGACTCTGACACCAGCCTACTAGAACAACGCCTTCGGCGTGGAGCATGCCCTTTCAATGCGTCGCGCATTACATTTTCAACAGTCCCCAAAGGGACGGAAGGTTCGGTAACACTACGCAAAAATTCTTTTCTGGATCTCACTCCTAGTCCAAACGCATGGATGTGGCACCACCTTCTGCCACGCCATTGCTGTTCATGACTCCCACTCCCACTCCCTACCATGAATGGGGGATTTGCTCATTTACGAATGCTACAGCGAAATTACAGCATAGAAAGAACGGATTGAATTCTGAGAATGCGTTTCAGAAAAGCCAATGGGCAAAACAATTCCAAGTAGGAAACAGAAGGTAGCGCTGAAGACAGGCCCCAAAAGGGAACAACAAATGTACTAACTGATAGCATCGTTCATTTGCCCTATGAGGAAACGCTTTATAAGATGTAATCCAAGCAATCAGCGTTAAAATGATGTCATGGCTGACAGGAAGACTTAAATAGAAACATGTGACTATTCCAACAACAATGAGCAATCAGCTGAACTTTCACACCAATACCGAAAGCTGTTTGAGAGTAAGAAGGTGACGTCATAGTGAGAATGACAATGACATAATTTCATAGTCATAGCGTGTGAATAATATCGACGAATCGAAACTAGATAGAGCTTATTCAGAGTAAGAGTATGACGTCAACGCGAGAAACTCCGACACTAAATAGGAGTGACGGGCGCATTACACTGACACACAGATACGTCCCGTGCTGCAGATAACATTCAACAACCAGTCACGATCAAAAACAAATTCGTATAAAAATGCTGGTAATTAAATTACGCCGTGAGTTGAAAAAGTGGATCTACGAACTACCAATGAAATAAAAAAAATCATAATCTCATGGAATAGCGCCCTAATTCTCGTTTTCTTGTTAACTATTAAAAAGTATTGGCAATAAAATGGAAGCTATACAAGTAAAGTAGACGTGACGCTATACAAGTAAAGTAGACGTGAGAAGTGGCAGATTACTTCCATTTCACCTCTTCCATGATAAGACCATATTGAGCTCTAGTCTGAAGGTGATCATAGGTGATGGCCGGCCCATGCGGAAGCGGACGTTTTCAACCTATCCACTGTCGGGCGACCACGCAAAAAATAAATTCTGTTCGACCAAAGCGAGATACGAATCCCTCGATTGATTATGCAGTGGCGATTCCCGCCTTCCTTGTCATTTACGGCGCATATTTTTTCTTCAAAAATTAGGAATAAAAGAAAGTAAGTCTCCAGGAGTGATCTGTCGCAGACACCACCAACAAGGGGGTTTTATGATCCCTGTTATCCAAGGGAGTAAAAAAGTTAATGGGTGCTGGAAGGAAATCCTTCAATATGGGATGTCATAGCAACAAATAATTATGACGGGAAGCGAGGTGCTTTCACGAAATATAGCCTACTACCTTTCTGAAAAACAATTAAACAAGCAATTATCGGCAAATTAGAAAGCATAAAAACTCACAGTTGTTGTATCGGCGTTACGAACGATAGCTGCCAGAGAAGCTGCCGAGATCTCCATCCCGCCTAACAATACTGTCATTCCCTGAACGGAAGTATCTCTCTTTGATTAGACATACTTGAACATCATTTAAAGGCATTCTAACGCTAACCCAATACTAGACGATGTTCGCTGAATTTCTATTTAATAAACCTTGACATAAAAGATCATTACACTTACACATGAAAGGATTAGGCTGATGTCAGAGTCCGCGATCCGTCGCAGGTTTCGCTGATTTTCGCGATTTTCGCGATTCACGCGATTTTCGCAATTTGAGCGATTCACGCGATTTGCACGAAACCTGTGACGGATCGCGGACTCTGACACCAGCCTACTAAAACAACGCCTTCGGCGTGGAGCATGCCCTTTCAATGCGTCGCGCATTACATTTTCAACAGTCCCCAAAGGGACGGAAGGTTCGGTAACACTACGCAAAAATTCTTTTCTGGATCTCACTCCTAGTCCAAACGCATGGATGTGGC